CCCCCCCCCCTTGGTTGGTTTGCTTTGATTATTTTTCTTTCCGCTATTATTATTACTATCGTTATCTCGGCGCCGCGGTGGCAATATGGCTGGTGATGGGTGTCTTGGGGGGCGCTGGCGGCGGGAGGAGCTCTCGGCAGCCCCTGCGCGCCCGGCTCGCTGTTAGCCATGGCAAATGGCAGCGGCCTTAGAATGAGTAACAATATCAACGCCAACAATCTCAACACAGACTCGTCCTCTGCCCCCGTCAATGTGCCCAAGATGGATGCGCTCATCATCCCGGTGACCATGGAGGTGCCCTGCGATAGCCGCGGACAGCGCATGTGGTGGGCTTTCCTCGCCTCGTCCATGGTCACTTTCTTTGGGGGACTGTTTATCATCCTGCTCTGGAGGACCCTCAAGTACCTGTGGACTGTCTGCTGCCACTGCGGGGTCAAAAACAAGGTAACCCTCCTCTTCCCCCCCCACTCCCCCTCGGCCGCTGACCCTTCCCCTCAGCGGTGACAAGAGGGTGCCCGGCGGCGCTGCCCGCACCGCGCYGGGGTGGTGGCATGGCCGGAGGGGCCGTGGGGCCCGCCGCGCGCCCCCCGTGCCGCCGACACCGCCGCGCTCGGGGACAGGGCACCAAAGTTGTGGTGCCCGAGCGCGCCGTGGCCTCCCGCGGGCTGCGCGGCTGGGGCTCCGTCACCGCGCGCCCCTGGCACCGCGGGGCCTGCCGAGGGGGACGCGTTTTGCCCCGCTCGGCGGCGGTGCCCCCGTGACGTGACCCGCTGGGGCTGCCTTGGAGAGGTGAACTTCTCCTCTCCTGAATTAGAGAGGTAAACTTCTCCGCGGAGTAAGTCTTTGCARAGCTGGTTCCGCGCCCTTGCAGTCGCTCCTAGACTTGTTTCGTAAATTCAGTGCATGTGCRTATATGAATGTATTTACTGATTTCATAAGGAATATTTTAGACAGAATTCTTCTAAGTGCAAAATCTCTTGGACAACCTGTCTGTCCCCCCTTTGTTTATTTTTTCTTTATTTTTCTTTTTTTTTAACCATGTTACCCTCTGGACAGGAGCGTACTATGTGCAGTAAGGTTGGCTCCTGGTTTGAGAGGCCCCCCTCAAGCCAAGGCTGAGGGCTTGGTCTGGCCCAGGCTCTCATTTCTGCTCAAGACAAATGGGATAGAAAGTGTTAAGACTGTGTATTTGTGAAAGTGGATTTTGACAGGCAATTTTAAGACCCCAAAATAGACCAGCAGCTGGAGTTTCTCCCCTTCCCTTTTTGCATTTTTTGGATTACAAATGGAATAATATCTGCTTCAGTTATTCCTGGCACACAGACACCCACAAAAACACACACACACCTTTTAATATATGGTTGCTAGGTTGCTGGCTTGCTTTGACGTACAGTGAGCTGTCTTCCCCTTCTCCTATCCCCTCCCCCTAAACACACTTGGTATCGCAAAACCCGGCTGAAGGAAGGGGCAGGGGAAACCAGGGAACAAGCTGGAGTGTGAGAAGTTTGGGTACCTGCCTTTCCTTGTGTTTAGTTATATATGTAACATTAAGATTGCAAGCAAAAACCTGTAAGTTGCAACTRAAAGTGGAACAATTGTAACAAACTTGGCCTATTGCTGGAAGAAGTCATGGTTTGAAAATTAGAAACTTGCAAAGAAATAGATACTTGCAACTCAACTTTTCAGTTTCAGGAAACACACCTGGCAATACTTCTTCTCTAGAGGCATTTTTCTTTTTTTTCATTCAAAACCAACCCTGAACTTTCTTAGAGACGTGTTGGCCAGGTGTGATGGTAAAGCTTGAAAAACTTTGTGGTAATAAATGTGTTTTGTAAATTACTCTTTCCTATTACAGTAATAGGAAATCCTTAAGAAAGGAAAGGGATAGCTATGGTTCATCTTCGGTGACTTCTGTGTATATTTAGCCCTATCCTCTGCTCTTTGAGAGACAAATCCAAAAGAAAAAGGCAATCCTACAAGCCATCACCTGCTAATTTGTYAGAGCAAATTTAAAAGAGATTCATCCCCTTTTACACAGACTTTGTAGGCATGAGGGCTTCATCGATATCCACAGTCTGAYAGTCCATTCATGAGAAATAGTCCGTAAAGTAGATCATACACCTCTTAAACAGTATAGAAAGGCATGTCCAAGTTGTATTTTAAACCCCTCAAGCAGGCTAAATAACAGGTGTCATCAAGGGGTCCCACCAGTTCTGGTTTGAATGATTTGACAGAGTAGAGTTATGTCAGATGGTAAGATTTATTTCAAGTAGCTATGTCCATGAATATAGCTCCTTGGGGCAGGAGGATGGAGAGCTCTGCAGGTAGGGGGAGATATGTGTCACGTCTTAGATTATGTCTAGTACACTGGTAAGGCTTTCAAGCCTTTAGTGAAGAATAATTTCCAAGGTCTGATACTTTCACACTAAAATGGGGTATCAGAGGATGTTGTCTGGGTATAATGAGTGTTTTTTTGGAAAATGCTTTTCTAGTATTGAAGGTATAGGGAGTAGCTGAAGAAAAAAATGAAAATGCCTTAAACTTTGCTCTTACCGAGCACATATTTGGTGCTGCATGACAGCTTGGGAAAGATTGCCAAGGATGCAGGTGAAAAATGTGAATGAGCATGTGTGCTATGTCTGCTATATTGGACCTCCCAGTAAATTCACAAGAAGTGGTTCCTGCTGCTGTGGAACAGGAGAAGTTTTTTTGCATGTTTAGGACCTTTTCCCCTTCCTCCTCCTCCGGCTCTGCAGTTCAGCATAGAGTTAGGTTATTCACTCTCATCTTCTGCCTAAAGAGCAAGTGAGCCAAAAGAACCCCCTCGTGTCTGCTCTCTGTGGCTTCTAAGTAAGTAATCTGCACATATACTAAAAGTCACAATCCACAGGGTTACTATTAACAGCTGTGTTCATGTGTGTTATTACAGTAAGCTATAAAAAAACCCACCTTTTTTGCCTGCTATATTCTTAGCATAAGACCATGTTTCTAGGGTTACTTTGGTTTAGTTAGATTGTCAGCTTTATTTTGTGCCTGTAACTCTTTTTATTGGCTGCATAGAAAGATTTAATTTTTTTTTTTGTTTGTTTTTATCTTACTGAGTTTAAGGTTGATTTTTGGATTTTTAAAACCTAATATTAACACTCTGTTTAACACTGTGGTAAGAAATTTCATTACAGTATTTTATTACAGTATTTTATTTTTCTTGGAGGGGGTACTGAAAGTCAAAAGAGTATGAAAACGTATGATAACATAATCATGCGTAATATGGTCTTTTAAAGTTCCAGATTCAATTTATGTCATTGTAAACTAATGGGACATTAATACTAATCATTGACAAAAAAAAAAGGATTGCCGAAGGTAGAGGGTATTTTATTCTCCATACTGCCTTTATGAGGTGGTGTTTTTAAAAATGTGCCAGAAAGAAAAATGGAAATCTTGACCTAGGTTATGTCAATGTTTCATTTAATATGAGAGTCATTACAGTTGAAGCCCATATTTTTTCTTTATCTAACGTAGTATATACTTTAAGGTTTAAATCTTGCAAGATTAACTACAGTCGTTTTGTAAAGACTTTAATGTTCATTCCTCAGTGTTTGCATCTGCATTTTAAGAAATGTTTAGATTTTGTTGAAGAACTTGTCTTCGGTTTGCCTTTTCTTCCCCAACTCATTTCTAACTTTGTGCATTAGAAGTAGAAAGAGGGCTGGACTCTGATACCGTTAGCAGCTCTTGTTTGTTGAAATAACAGAAAAAGAAAACAAATATGACATACAAAAGTACGTGTAGTAGCTAAACACATAAAATCTGTAGTTGTTTTAGTTATATAGATCCACTACTCTATTTTCCCATGTTCATGAAGACGTTACATGATATGCCCCATGTTTTGGCTTTGAAAGAGCTTTTAAACAAGGAAGAAGGTGCAGTGGAATGAGAGAGAGTCCCCGGAGCCGTGAAGGGTGCGGGATGCGGTGCAGCTTGTGCCCTGTGCAGAGTGTGGCCTGGAGCCGGCGTCGCTGCTGCCGGCTTCACCGGAGAGCACAACTCATGGTTATCCTCATGTCTTCAAGGGCACTGAGTGGGTTCAAGGCATTTTATCATCAGTCTCACCCTGGAACACCATCCCTTTGGTGAAGACATTTTCATCCTGYAACACAAGACTCCTGTATTTATTGAATGAAACTCTGTTACGATGTTAGGTGGCAACTGCTTGCCTAAAATGACTCATGGTAATAGTCTTTTGGCAGTTTAATAAATTTTAGAGTGATAGATACGGTCAGTTTCTGCTAATGTTCTTGTTTATTTTGGATATAAAGGTTGAAATTTTAGTAAATTTAGTAAATTTAGTAAATTAGTAAAATATTTGCAGTAGTTTGAGAAGAATTTGCTCTCTTCTCAAAAGCCTGGGAAAGCTTGTAAGGGGAAAAATGGCATCTCTCCTCAGAGGAGAAGCGTTTCTACCAAACTGGCTCTCATATAGCCAGGTTTGTTGGATTTCTGGCAATACCTGGAAATCCCCTCTCCAAATGAGATGAAAGGAACAAGTCCCATACAAGGCCCTGTATATTCAGAGAAGRATGAGAACATCTTGGAGGGCACGCGTGGACATACGGTGCAAGAGATGCCTGCATGCAAGTCTCTGYGTCACCATCTCGCCTAGACAGTCCAAGATGTGCGGAACAGAAGCACAGCAACAACTGGAAGGCTCGGGAGATTAGCAGGGGACTGCAGTGCATTTCGCTCCTTAGTCACATGCTGGGTCTGGCTCAAGAAACCGAATCGCGACCGTCTCATGGCTATCAGGTGGTCTGCGTGTAATTGCTCCATGAGCCTCCCACCAGACAGGTTGCCAGCTGAGATACGGGCACGTCTGAGAGGTCAAGGACTGAAAAGGTGGTGAAAGAAAAGGCACCCTCTTCAGATGCTCTTTCTGCGGGTGCAAAAGTCACTGTTACGTGCGGGGCTTGCTGCTGTTTGCCACGCTGCCGGTCTTGGGTGAGAAAGAAGACGTGCTCAGCTCTCTSGAGCTCATCGTGGATTTCACATTTGATAGACATACGGTGAAATTGATTATGCATGCAAAGAAGAAAAGGCATGAACAAGGATTTAAGCTTTCAACTGAAAAATGTCGATGGAAATGTTATTTTGATGCAGTAACATACTTACTTTCAAGGCTTTGCAGCACATGCGTTTAAGGAGAAAAGCTGAACTCAGAAGGAATTTGCAGCTCTTGCACATTTGCAGATCTGTAAGTGATGGTTGAAAACCATTGGATTTCAGAATGTTTTCCAGTTTAGCCCAAAAGAAGAAGTCCCTGAACTAGGGGATAAAAGGCTTTTTAATAACAATAATCCATGTTCTCATTTTTGATGCTGTGGGACTTCTGAATGCAGAAGGAGGGCAGTATGCAGCCTCAGATATGGAAACACTGTGAAAATTTGGAG